ATGGATGGATGGACGGACGGACGCACGGACGGACGGACGCCACGGAGCGGACGGACGGACGGACGGACGGACGGACAGACAGACAGACAGACAGACAGACAGACAGACAATGTATGATAGACAGATGAATTGTAGAAGCTTTAGGGCTCTGCGGGATTGTGAGGCGCGTATAGTATTTGTTGACAGTAGTTTCAAAGCTGGCCATGGGCAGCTCTAGATTAAAGGCAACTGCATGCATTCCTGTGGCATTATGGAATGTAGTTCGTAGAAAATACTTCGCAAAACTCCTTCATGTAAAGGCATGTTTGGAATGCTTTCATTTCATTATCGTGAATAAGTCGTATGATTGATTGATGGGGTTTGTAATACGCCAGAAGCGCGATAAATATGGAATCGATGTGTGATTGTTTGAAGAAGTGCTAGCCATGAAATGCGCACGGCCGTTTCGCAGTTTCGTTGAAATCCGGAAAAAAATCGATCAAGGTTTTACATGACGTAATAACCGTTTTGAATATTCCGGTTCAATACTCATGTAATCCTTTGATTAAATTTGGCAGGACTCACGTACCGCTAACGAGGAAAATTGCCCAGTTATAAATTTATCGTGTTTCTGGATTTCTTGATTAACTGTGGTATCTTGCAATCCGGGCGCATATTGGTCATTGTATCAGAACCCGTGTATATGGCAAAAGTGCAGGTAGCAGAATGTAACCTATGGCAAATCGATTCTTTGTCCGATTATATTATGTTCTAGCTCGTATCTGTGGGCAAATGGCGGTATGGTATAAAACTGTAAATAAATTCATTAAAAACAACTCGCATGAGCTGCTTTCTTGTGCACAGATGGCGGCATGCAGTCAAGGAATCCCTCTCTCTCTCTCTCTCTCCGCTTCTCTCTCTTTCTCTCTCCGCTTTCTCTCTCTTTCTCGCTCGTTCTCTCTCACTCACACACACTCTCTCTGTATATATATACATACTGTAAAGTAACGTGTGGTAATTAGGACTCTCTATGCTGTAATTGAATGTGCTCATAGCTTTTTGACAGTACATGGGCTATGCGGTTAATTTGGTTTGTATATATGTATGTGTGTGTGTGTGTGTGTGTGTGTGTGTGCGTGCGTGCGTGCGTGCGTGCGTGCGTGAGTTGTGTGTGTGTGTGTGTGTGTGTGTTGTGTGCGTGCGTGCGTGCGTGCGGTGCGTGCGTGGTGTGTGTGTGTGTGAGTTGCTTCTTGTGCACAGATGGCGGCATGCAGTCCAAGGAATCCACATCCTCTCTTCTCTCTTTCGGCTTTACTCTTTCGCTCTCTCTCACTCACACACACACTCTCTGTATAATATTACATATGTAAAGTAATGTGTGGTAATTAGGATCTCTATGGCTGTAATTGAATGTGCCTCATAGCTTTTGAACAGTACATGGGGGCTATGCGGTTAATTTGGTTGTAATATATGTGTGGTGTGTGTGGTGTGTGTGTGTGTGTGTGTGTGGCGTGCGTGCGTGCGTGCGTGTGTGTGTGTGTGCGTGCGTGCGTGCGTGCGTGCGTGCGTGGCGTGCGTGTGGGTGCGTGCGTGCGCTGCGTGCGTGCGTGCGTAGTTTGTACACCTGCTGGCCACAGCAACATTAAACAGATATGGTTTATAATATAGGTAACTATTGTAGGCAGGGTAGGTAGGATTCATTACGATTACCAGCTTGACACCTACATGCTTATTAAATCCGGAATACATAAGTCATATCTCAATAATCACTATTGAAGGAATTTTCACGTGTGTTCTGATTGAGTTGTCATCGCAATGACAATAAAAATTTATAACTCTAGTGCAACCGCAGGAATCGCTTGCAAGGCAAACCATTAATGCTATTTCTATTAGGGATCGGATTGGGCTATCGTAAATATCATTCGCTTTCTTTATGAAATGAAAACGAATGGCGAAAAGCGATATATTATGAAAATGAAATGCGCGGTGTTTATATAAGATTAACATATTTCGAGTGACATGTCACAAAGACACAGCAAAACAGCGGTCCATGTTCAAGAAATTTATGCTACATGGCACGCGATGGTAGACTGTTTATGCTAGCTAAGCTTTACACCTCAGTACATAAGCTTAGTCAGCAACTCTTGACGATTACCAACGTATGCTGACGTATCAAAATTTCTTAAAACGCAGGGTACGGCATAACGCTGAACTACTAGATCGATGTTTAGTTTTTCAATTTGGGCGTTTTATCATAGCGTATTCATAACGAGTTTGGACGTATACATAGACGTAATTAAGTAAACTTATATAAGAACTGTTTCGATAACTTATATGATAACTTATACAAACGAATGCTTTACTGTGTTGACCAGCGTTCACGAAAACTTATGCCCTAACGATAGTCCTAACTTAATTAATGTGCATAGGCGCGGCGTGCAGCGTATTGCCGACGATCACGTGTCATAGCCCTATAAAAGACTTTTGCGCGCTCGAACGATTCAATCATAACGACGGCACTAACTCAGACACTCAGTCAGTATCAACAATTACCCGTAAGACGTCGCATAATCAACATAGGTCAGAACTCACCGTCGGCAGTATGGAGCGCGAACGCATCAGTTCGGTGTCAGTCAGTAATCAACATCAACGTCTTTGGAATGGTCCCGAGAGGACTGATTCTCGGCGCTATCAGGAAACATCACCGCACCATTGAGCTCTCCTCTTGGACATCACGCACTGTGGTCCTTACTTGGCCCGGTGCTCTATGTCCGAACTGTAAAATCTTTCGAAGAACGCTGCCAAGAAAGGTTGTCGCCCCTGGACCGTGGCCATGGGAGTGCGGAGCCGTGGGAGCCGACGGGAACGCAAGGGCCAGAGCTAACCAATCCATCATCACCCACATCCGCGATGCCACGAACCTGACGATGCCGAGAGGGCGTTGGCAAACCGTGCATCATCTATCGCCTAGCAACAAAGACGCTCACCCGCTGATGAGAATGATGCAGGTTCCAACGCCTTCTCGGCATTGGTCAGTGCATCGGTAGCTGGTCCGATTGGCCTCACACCTCCTCTCAGCAACCAATTGTCAAGAAGGAAGAGGGCCAAGAAGACACAGTTTTGTCCTTGATGTCCAAGAGGAGCAGCTCATGTGCGATTTCTCATTCGCGAGAAACGTCATCCTCTGGGAACAATCAAAGAAGGACTGACTACCGGAGGGTCCCGGCCATCAAAGTGCCCCACATGTATGGGGAAAGTTCGCATCTTTGGAAAAAAACTTGTCCATCTATGGCCGGCGCCAACTAATCAGGAACTTTACTTGGGCAACCCAGCCCTCATACCACCGTCGTCATGAATGGCTTGGCCAGAGCTTCTCTGACCACTAGGGACTGGTGTTGTGAAAGGACCCTCCTCAAAACTTCATCGAGGCATACTTGTTCCGCAGAAGGCAAGGTGACGCAAGCTCAGGGCAGCTTCATGCCAGGCTCAAGCGGATCCTCCTGTAGAAGGTGTAGCTGTTGTTATCCGTTGGACCCACTCTAGGCTAGCAGAATAGCTCGTCGAACATCGCTGGGGGCATACGCAGGAAGTTGGTGAGGATCATGGTGCCTCGTTACGGAGTTCCACCATAAGCTGGTCATACATGCCAAACTGCCGTTGCCTCCCGATCCATGGTCTCACCCAGTTCCTTCTCCTCTGTTCACCTCTTCTTCTCCTGGCTCTATTGGCACGCAACTGGTACAGTGTCAAATCGATGAGGTCATGCTGATGTTGGAGGACAGCTAGTAGGTATTCTCGTCTCAGCCTAGCCGGATCCTCCATCTCTCGGATGACATGGACATCTGCTCACCATGGAGTCTTGAGGAGTACTGACGGGTTCCTCCTGTGAACCCTGTTTTTATTTACCAATTCCCCTAAACGCTGCCAATACGCCATTATACGGTAGCTGTAAGTTAGAAACACGTTCAGTAAGTTCTGTGGGCGTCAGGAACACGTCAAATACGTCTACATACGTCAATATGCGTTGGAGATAAGTTCGATATAAGTTACACATAGGTTCAAAGCACGTTACTCATAGGTTAGAAATAAGTTTTGGGTACGCTAGACATTATCTGGACGTATTTAGACTTATGAGTAACTTACAAGTAACGTGTGTCAACGTGTGTCAACGATCGCATAACTTACCTACAACTTATGCCCCGCGTATGCGGGACGTATGAGCCATACGGTGGCATATACCTTTCGACGACCTCGCCGTAATACGACGTATACCAGCGTGCTTCAGCGTGCTCTTAACTTATACAAAACTTACCCATAACTTATTCGACGTACGCCAGCGTGTTAGAGAAATTTTGATACGTCGGCATACGCTGGCTAAATCGTCAAGGTGTGACAGGGCCATAATTGTAATTATTGTTGACTTGATATTTGCTGCCGTAGATATTTTGTAGTGACAATTAAAATGAACAAATTTATTAGATTGCTCACATTTATAGGTCGCATGTTGTTCTTATGACATATATTCCCATCCCACCTCCACGTAAACCCTCTGCCTTCACACACGCACCCGAACCTTTCTGTCGGTTCAAGTCGGAGTCAATTGTTCAGTCGCCTGATTATTTCTTACTGATTTGGCTTGGCAGTTATTACTGAGACTTGTTTACTCCCCAGTGTGCAGTCATGTATTTATAATGAAGATAATAATAGTGCGGGGGTCACTGCCCGGTTATTGAGGTGTTAGTCAATTATATACCTAAGTAAAACTGCGATGTCGAGGTTGTTGCGTTGTGATGCTCACTAAGTGTGTGTAGAATTCATATATGCTGCGGAAATTGTCAGAATTCCATTATCTACTCGCGAGCAAGGCATTGTTACTCTATTATATACGCAGCCTGATACAATGTTCAGATTAAATTAGTCGCAAGTTTGCTGATTTTTCCTGACAGGGGGTTATCTTCATACTTATCTTTACGCTGTGTAATGGCACTCTACAGAAAATAACCTAGCGTATTGATTTGCAGCTAAAATGATGGCAGGGCAAACTGCAGAACCGATTGCTGGGGTTGAAAAACCACATGTCAGCAGGTGGGTGCATTATGAGAATTTAACGTCATATATATTATTTATTAGTTTATTTATTGTAATATAATGTACGGATTTATTTAATATTCGTCTTTATTTTTTCCCCATATACACTTCTAAATGTATACGCATACAGTGTACTTTATTTTATAAATGTGATGCGGATAGGGTTGCACTTAATTTGTGTTTAAATATTTAAGATGAAATGAACATTCGTTAAGTTGCATTCATCAAATTAGCATTTTGTGTGATCTGGAGATGAAAGAAATGAGAGTATCCCAATTATCATACAATATAATGCAGTGCGTTTAGAAATATCTACATCCATCCTAGAAGCGTAATTTCCCGTGTGGCTGAATGTTTCTGTTTTTTGAAATTTATATCTGACTATCAATAGCTGCAGTAGCAACAAGGAGAACCCAGTGATTCCAGATAACGAGGAGAAAACATTGAACAAGAAATTTGCTGACATTATGAGAACGAAAAGGAAGAAACTAGTGCAGATGAACAAAATGCAAGACAGCATGGCCTCGGAATCCACAACGTGCACTAGAAACTCAGCAGTGTCCAGTGTGTCCAGGTATCTTGAATAATTCACCATGAAACAGTTAGTGTATGCGCGTGGTGCAACTGGCGCAATATAAAATGTTGTTTTGACCATCTCGTGTGTACGTGTGCATGTGCATGCATGTGTCCGAGCATGCGAGCGCGTGTGCACGAGCATGTGCCTGCTTGCGTGGATGGGTGAATGGATGGATGGGCGGAAGGACAGACGGACGGATGGATAAAGACAGACAGACCGGCGGGAGGGGCGGGGGCGGTTGGACGGGTTGGCGGCGGGCAGGCAGGCAGATAGATGGACAGACAGGCAGACAGACAACAGACAGACAGACAGACGTACAGACAGGCAGACAGACAGACAAACAAACAGATAGATAAATATTTCAAGCCATCGATTTGTGGAGCCGGTGAAAATTCAAAATTAGGTTTGTGGTCGAATTGGTCCATTAATATTGCAGTACGTGGTATCGTGATACACTGCATCCCTGTCTAGCGGAATAATAATGGAACCTTACAGAGGCTTTCACTTAGTGTAGTGAGACGGATTTTCAGAAATCAATCACTCAAGAAAGGACTCAAATGTATCCATCAATGTGATAGTATCGCCAAGAAACGGGATGATGTGAATAAAACAGCCATTCTCTGTGATGTTATTGCTTTTGAGAGTTGTTATGGTGATCCTTGTGGAAGAAAGCCACGACGAAGTCCTGAGCTGTAGCCGTCAAAGAAATTTTCCATTGATAGGCAATAAATAATGAATCCGTTTTGCATTGCAGCGTTGAAGATCTTCTAAATATGAGGAATGGCGATCCAGAAGATATTCTCATTAACCTTGGATTTGGAGGAACAGGAACGTCTGATACATTGTCTATGATACCTGAACGGTTTCTGAACAAACCAAGTCAGATAAGAGGTAATGGCAAATTTTGTTAAGAGCACTCACTAATTTAGTAATTTCATAAGGTTAATCACAAACTACTTCTTCAAATCGGTCATTTTATTGTTTGGCATAGATATCTGATAAGGCTGCTATCTTAGTAAATACTCATATATGCGTTTCTGTTTAGGAAATTATGTAATTTGATTTTTAATTCAGTAGATCATTTAAAATCTAAAAGCATTAATATGCTGCATAAAAAGCTCTCATGGTGACACTGCAAACGCTGTAGCATGATAATGGTAACAGTCTGAGGCAGAGGTAATCCATATCTCCCAAATAGCCATCTGTAATCGGAAGAACGGTCGCAGTAACGTGCGCTGCAATCTTTGACGCAGGTGTGAGCATCGAAGACTTCATGAGTCATCAGGAGGAGAAGATGAGTCTCTATGATTCGGGCTTCTCCGGCTACCGAGGCCTCTCAGGTCAGTTGTGCGCCTCGTGGCGTGGCTTATCGTCTCCCTACTCGCCGTTGCTCTCCCGCGGGAGGCCCCGCAGCGAGTACGGCACGGTGGCAACGCAGCGACGTAGCCGCAGCGCCGGCCCGCTGAGGACTACTGTCTCGAAATCCACTAGCGTTTCTACGTGTACTCGGAAAGCTTGCGTTTCGCCGACCTGTGGTGATGGGAAACCACTAACCGGTGACGTCGTAGCTAGCCGTCTAACATGTGGTGAGGGGGAGTGTCGTGGTGGTGGTGGTGGTGGTGTGCGTGCGCTCGCTTCCAGTAACCGTCTGTCTCCTTCGACTAATGTGGCCGTCAACTATACTAACATCGATTCTATGCATGGCGCGCAGATTAGTGGCGCGCCCGTGAGCATACCCACTGTGTGGGTCGCCGGTGCTTCCGCGTGCCGAAAACAGATGCGGAAAGCGTACTCCGTCGACGACGGCGAAAACACGAGCCATCTAGCGGCGGAGTCGTTGCGCGCCGAGCATCTTGCCTTTACGAACCAGCCGTGCAGCATCCGCAGCCGGCGACATCCGCCTAGCTACAGTCAGGCTATTAAGCGATCAGCTGCCATTCACAGCAGTGCTTCCGGGGCAGTGCCGCCGACGTCCTCCGTCGATGCCGGCGGCATGGCAGATGCTATGCACTCGCCTTCCGTGCTGTCGCGGTCGCCCGAGCGCAGCAGAAGCAGGGCGGCGAATCGACTGTCAGTGTTGCGAAAGCAAGAAACCACTGAGAGTCGCAGCAGTTACTCGTCCAGCAGTTCCACTCCGCCGGCCAACAGAAAGAAAGTGATTAGATCTGTGCTTGTATAGTGAATGCTCTGGCTGCAGCGTCTGATGGCACTGTAGCAAAGACTGAGTAAACGCTACTCGTGCTCACGTAAACGCTGCTCTGTGGACTAATCGTGGGACAGTAGAAATGTTGACAGCGTTTATGGCAGGGGGCTGTCACGTCGTCAAGATTCATGTGATTGCTTTATATAGTCACTATACACGGTCCTTAGGTCGCTCCCATGTGCAATTAAAGGCATTTATGTTTGTTATAAGCAGTTCTACTCGGTAGGAAGGTTTACTGTTTAGTTTATGACAACAGACTTATGGTTTAATAATTAATTGGAAAGTGCTACTAAATTGTTCTTTTTTTTCATTGATATTTTTAACTGTTTTTACATTTGGCAGTCAGCATTTTAAGTTGCGGTGACACATAGAATTCATGCTGGAATATTAGTATACTATATACACAAAATCTGTTATCTTTAAGTAATTTCATGTCATGACAGTGCAAATGAATTTTAAGAATTTGACATTTAAATTACGTTCAATACATAAAGTTATGATTTTGATCAATGCAAGTTTAAATTAATAGAGATTCTATACAAGCAGTGATAAATATATACAGAGAGTATCATAAACCTTGTTGGAAATTTGCTATTCAAATGAGGCATTTCGTGAGCTGAATAATTTCTCAAATTTATGCAGCACGAATTCACTAGCTGTCTCAAATTATAATTCCCTCACCTTCAGGCAGAGATGCTCTAATCACTTGAGACTTGAACAAACATGTTAATGGCAGCGTCTCTTTAGTTTAATGGCAATACAAATTTAAATCTGGTTAATGATAAAATTGTATGCTTAACTGTTAAATATATTTAAATTGTCCAAATACATTGAAAATGGGGAAATAATATTTCTGATAAATCTTTACAATATGTGAAAATTGATTATCTAGTAACAAAAATGCACTTTAACTGGGAAATCGGTTTTAATATTGCTCTTTTCTCAAATCTTATTTTGTAATATAGTGCACACTATTAAGTAGTAGACACTTAGCTAGCTAGCTTAGTTGGTATCAGTCTATTATTGCTGACTATATCAGTCTATACGGGCTATTGTTATTATTGCAGTTGTTATTATCTCCGTTATTGTTAATTTTATTGAACCATATTGCAACTGATATTTGTCATAATAACGTGCATTTGTTTAGCACGATTGTGTTGCGGAAATATTTACTTAATGTTTATCATTCTAAAACGGCTAGGCTTGTTCATAAAATTAGTTTCACGGTTGTGTGGGAAGGTGAAGCCATGTATTTTACTATATCTAGCCTTTCATAATGTTGATATGCATCTAACGGTATGTTTCAATAATGGTGCTACTAATAAATTTTTTAAATTCTATCTTGTTAAATCTGACTTGGCATATTAACTCTGTCTTTGTATAGTTTTTATCTGTAGCAGGTTCATCTGTCTGTGACGCCTGTTAGATGTTTTCCAAATGGCACAATCTTAGCAGTCTTTTCAGATAAATATTTTTATTTTTATTTTTATTTATTATCTTTTAAAATGCTCTTACTGTGTAAAAGTTTACAGTTGAGACTGTGTCATAGATACTTTTAGGTGAATGTTTTTGCATGGCCTTTTGGGTGTTTCTTAATGTGTGCACGTTTTCGTTTATGCTTTTCTCTCTTCCAGCATTTCTAATTAATAAATTTAGTGATAAGCATTGAAACCAAATCTTTTCTGATTGCTGCATATTTAAAAATGATATTGTGTTGCATACTTACAATGTGGTTATATTTGGTTTTGATTATTTACTAGCAGTTGATCCAATTAATAAAATATTATTTTTGCATTTTATTCCGTCATCAGGACTGCTAAACATACATTTCCTAACAATTCATTTGTTGTCACGATGAATTGAATGCATTGCCTTTCCACGTTTTTTCGATGCACGACTTCGCACGAAACGTTGTTGTTTTTATTTATTTCCGTTCTCGATGTATTGAGTTGTCTCTCCCACCGCAGATTGCATGAGGTCTACGCACAGCCATCGCGACAGTGTCATTGACAGGCTCGTCAAGCACATAGGCAAGAATAGACGGGCGCAGCGAGCGTCGTCAGTAGTGAGTGCCCACGCGCACAACGGGGGCGGCTTCGGCGACGTCGTCGTCGCCGCAGTCTACAAGAACGCCGGCATGAGCGTGCGTCTGCAGCGGCTCACCAGCATTCTGAACCCGGCCAATCGCGAGGCGCTGACGAAGAAGAAAAGGGAAGGATCCCCGAACAGGGACCGCAGCGATTCGACCCGAGGTCGTGGCCTGTCGATCGGCGCGGAGGACGACGTGTTCTTCGACCCCAGGTTGGCCGGGGCAAAGGTTAGGAAGAGGAAGACGAGCGTGGACGTGCAGAGGGACCGCAAGAAGCTTCTCGGGCACCTGAGCAAGCAGTGGCAGTTCGGGCACAACGAGCAGCAACTCGAGTTCGGTAGCCGCCGGCGATCGCGCATCGAAGCGCCGTGTCTCGTGAAGCAGGAGAAACTCGACGAGACGACCGGGAGCTATGTGTTAGTGGTGGAGGAAGAGATGGAGCCAATGGAGGTGTCAGCGCAGGAGGAGTCACCGGTGCAGGAGGGGTCACCGGTGCAGGAGGGGTCACCGGTGCAGGAGGAGTCACCGGTGCAGGAGGAGTCACCGGTGCAGGAGGGGTCACCGGTGCAGGAGGAGTCACCGGTGCAGGAGGGGTCACCAGTGCAGGAGAAACCGCAGCAGCATAATGAGGAGATATCTGTTGATGCTGTTACTCCCCTGCCTGTCAGCGAGTCGCCATTGAGTGAGTGTGATGAAGTCATTACTAAAGATGACGTCGGCGTTGAAGATGAGGTTGTGACCGTGGTGGAGCCGGTCGTCGATGTGGTTTCTTCGGAGGAGAATGGCGTACTGTCAGTCTCGACCATCAGTAAGAGGATGACACTCCGGGAGATGAATCTCCAGCAAGACTCTTTCGAACTTGAAGAGGTAACGCATTTAGCGAGCAGTGTGATTTCATTTGTGTATGTGCAGCGTGCGCTTGTTGCTGTGTGCACCTGCCTATGTGTGAGCGCGTCGATGTGTTCTGTATCCGCATAGGCTCCATATCGTGTTAGTATTGGGGAATGATGCCTTATTTCATGTACAAACCAAATGAATTGATGAATTAGTCTGTTTTGCTCAGTAGGTGTCACCACTAGTATGCTTTGCAGTCTCGGTTACTTGGTTCATATATATGCGTTTCTATTGCAGATTGACAGTAGAGCTGCTACTCCGGCACGATCTCAGTGTGAGTAATCAGTGACTTTGCAGGTTTTCAAATGAGCAAAAATGTACAAAAAAACGTTCCCATCGCTTAGCAATTGTTAAAATGTGGGAAATGGTACGTCGATCACCAACGAATTGGCTCAGAAAAAAACTAGTGTAAATTAACCGCATGACTTTAAAAGTAAGACGTTGCAGTTTTGTCATATGTGGTCGGGTGCTTGCATGATTCATATTTGTGACATATCATCTTCTCACAGCATTAGAAAGATGACGACAAATATCCTCTTGGCCTTTAGCTACGAAGCAACTACCTGCCTACTAAGCAATATCTACTTAAATATTTGTGTACTGCAGTCCATATATTATGTGTATTGTGTAATATGGTGGTATGTGTAATTACCATGCAGTAGTAATAACAACTTATTCTAAACAGCAATATTGCCAGCTAGCAATAATGTTTATCCTGCAAATGATTGGACATTATTGGGAAGCAGTGCAAGGGTTTTTCTGGTCAGTTGTCGCTTGAAGGAGAATGAGGCTGCAAGTCACTTGTGGGCCTTGTATAGATCTATGTTCTTACATATGCGTGTAACTATAAATATATTTTTATATATTTGTGTGTGTACTTCTGAGTGAGTAATGGTAAAAACAGGTAAGTCGTACGATTTCCATTGGATAATTTTACTGGTGATTATTTTTATCTAATATTGGTATGCCTAGTATTTCGTTCCCTACAGAGTAATTGCCAAATTGCACTAAAAATGCATAGTAATTAGTGTGGATGTTAGCGCAATTATGTAATAATGTATTAGTACTTTTGTGGATGCAATCATTGTTCAACTATGTGTTTACCTGATGATTAAAGTGCAAATTCCATGCTTAAATTATAATATATTGATATTTAGTGCACATATAAATTAAAATGATAAGCAAACGTACTGTTGATAATATACAGAGATCATTAAGATTCAAAATCCATGCTGAAGCATGCGCTTCTATCTCTCATCCTTGGTGAATTGCGACGGCTAAGTGCGACCGCATTACACATTTGCGTAGATAGCAAGAATGTAAAGTACTCTTCTTTATTGCCCGCCTCGAGACAATCACGGTCCTTTTGATGTTTCAGATGACATTCCGATTATAGTGGTTAGGGAGGGCAGCGTTAGTTCTATTGAGAGCAGCGGCTTTGGTGATGTAGACAACCCAGACAATAGCAATCTTGGCTTACTGGAAAACGAGCCAGTTATCGATGACAATTTGTTAAATGTAAGTCGGAGCCATATCACTCTCTGGTGTCACGCAGCAGATCACAGAATGCACATCTTGCTATAGCAGACTAGAAAAGTATTTACTTCACAAGTAGGTTGGTTTGCTTATGTTATCCTGTCCAAACAATTCCAGTTTGAGTGATCCGGGATCTCCTCATTATTACAAAGAACTGGTACCTACTACTAAGAATTGTAATATGTGGCAGCTAACTAATCTATAAGTTAGAGATCAGTATTATCCAATACTCCTGATATAACACTTCTTTTAATGTGTAATTTTAAACATTTTAAAGTTAATTACATTACTATTCGCTTTGAGAGTGAACAAGTCGAGTGTAGGTGAGAGTATGACATTGTGTATTAATAATATAGGTAAACCATACTTCAAATGTTAAAAGGTTGTATAAATATGTCAATGGATTTAGTGTAACAACTAATGAACTTTTTTAACAATGGATAAATTGGTTGAAGAATTATTGTATAATATTCGTTTTAATTACACAAAAACTTTATTTGAATGAATATTCATCACATATGATCGTTGCAGGTCTGTCCAACACCTAATGCAGACAGTGAAAGTGGAGAGACGAGCAGTGTTTGTACTCTGAAAGCCCGCTCAAACAGCAGACAGGAAGACTTCTCAGAGGTGGGTGCAACTCCTTCACGAGAAGCCAGAAACCTATTTAGTCATTAAATACTAAAGTGTTAATTCTTCCTCAAATTACAATTTGGAAATATATAGTGTTGTTTCCTCCTCAGGTTACTAAGTTCGTAGACGATACCGCAATGGCATACCAACCCACCGTATCTTTTGAGGAGAAATCCACCGAAACAACAGATTTACCTGATCATGACTGGCCCAGCTACGCGCATCCTTTGCGAGCCGACAGTGTGGAAAAGGCGTGTGGACCAGATGAGCTGCTCGAGCATAAAAGGTCCGTCTCCACCTCCAAAGTGTCTGAAGAATCACCAATCGGCATTTCGAGGTACTTTTCGCTCGACGAACTCTGGCCGCACTGCGTCGATGAAAAAATGACGATGTCACAGCACGACGAGTGCACGTCACTGGGCGGAGCCCGGGCCGCATCCGTGCAGAATCTGCTGCTCGACTTGCTGGCGGGTGAGGGCGAGCCGTTCGCTCACCTGAAGAGAAACGTCGAGAAGGCAGTGCAGGAGGTCTTTCAGAACGTTCACTTCGGCGCGCCGGCGGAAAGCGACGACGCGAGGCCGCGGCGGGAAGAGGTCCCGGCCGCACGACGCGAATCGTTCCGCAGCTACGACGACTCCGTCGAGGGCGACGCCGGCAGCGCGGCGGCGGCGGCGGCGTACGACGTGCACACGGTGGATGTGGCGGCGGCGGCGGCGGGACGCGAGGTGCACACCGTCGAGGTGGCGGCGGTGGCGCGCGACCGCGCGGTGGTCACCTACAGCCGGCCGCCGGCCGCCGAGTCGATCGTGCGCTTCTCGCAGGACGCCGACCGCAACACGGTGATCGAGACCGCGCGCTCGTGCCCAATGGAGCTGCTGCACCTCGACGCGCCCGTCGACGTCGAGGTGTCGCCGGCCGGCGTGCGGCTCACGGCGATCTTCGAGGAGCGCGGCGCGAGCGGCGCATCCGTGAAGCTGCGACTCACACCGGCAAGCGTCGCTCGGCCGCGCTCGCCGACGCAGCAGGATGCTCCGTTGTCGCAGCGACGGGAGGATGCTCTGTTGTCGCAGCGACAGGAGGATGCTCTGTTGTCGCAGCGACAGGAGGATGCTCTGTTGTCGCAGCGACAGGAGGATGCTCTGTTGTCGCCGCGACAGGAGGATGCTCTGTTGTCGTCGCGGCGGGAGAATGCTCCGTTGTCGTCGCAGCGGGAAGACGCTCCGTTGTCGTCGCGGCGGGAGAAAGGCGGCCCGCAGTATGTGTCGGAATGCTTTGTCCACCTTCGACACGGCTCGCCCGCGAACGCTCAGCCCATCCACCGTAGCGCGAGCGCCCCCCATCCCGTCACCACCAGCCTGGAGGATGAGGTCGATGGCTGGGTGGAGGAGAGTGAGCGAGCGACGATAGACCACGGGTGCGACGCCGGGCGGCGGAACGACGCTCAGGGGTACCGCGATAGGAGGGCAGCATTGGCGCAGCTCTTGGAATCCGACAAGCAGGTAAGAAGGGCGCGTGGGGCAACAGGGTGAATGTTAGAGCTCTAGTTTAAGCGTTGACGTCTTTGTTTTGTCTTTGAGAAAGGTTGCTGTCCAGCAGAACGCTGCTGGGGTGGAGACGAGCACAACTGGGTTCAGCAGCAACAGCAGCGGTGGCTTTACTAACATCTGCTGCCGCCAGAACTCCCACACTAACATTCCGCGTTGTGGTGATGGTGGTGGTGGTGCACGTACAATTCACGCTTCTACGGCAGAACGTAGTCATACAGGCTCTGCCAGCATTGAAGAATTTCAGAGCATTTGGAAAAATACTGTAACAAGCTCGAACTTGTGTGATCGCTCATTGATTTCCGCTGTGCAAACTTCTCCAAGTCTAACACCCTCAGGAAAGAACTCATTCTCACCCAGAGAGGGGCATGATTTCTCTCCTGAGGTCGTTGGTGTTATGTTGACACAAACTCGTCCTGTTTCCTTTGGTGATAGTAGTTCTGTTACACGAGGCAGTGAAGTTTGTAAGTACAGCAGTGTCGCCACTTTGTGTGTAGATCAGCTGAGATTCCCCGATTCAGATGTAGAGACTGATTGTGATAGCTTTAGTGCAAAATCGGAGTTTGACAGCAGCATAGAGGATATACTGGCAGAATGCAATGATTGTGATGAAGAAATTGACGTGACTCATTTTGACGATGTTTTGTACGCTGGTGAACAGCAGAAAGGTAGCAAATACGCAGAGATTGCCCGAAAGCATTCCGCGACAGATAAGCGACAGCGCGCCGACGGCCACAGCGAAGGCTCCGGCAACTGGAGCGAGCTCAGGCCAAGGCCTGCTCGCGGCCGCACGATCTCCGTGCCCTCTTACATGGAACTGCAGCGACGTTCCGCCGGGCTATCCGCAAGTTACGAGCAGCAGCGGATCACCGCCGACACCGACCGCGTCGCCACCCCGCCGGAGAAGCGCAGTCTGCAGCGCCTCAAGAGTCTCGACTCGGCGGGCTTCCCCGACCCCGTCGCGACGCAGCGCGAGACCGAGCCGACGTTCTCGACGCTCGTCGAGCACTACCTTGCCGGCAGCCAGCCGACGAGCATCGACAGCATGTGCAGCAAGCAGCGGTTGTCGGCCGTCGGTCGGCGCAGGAGCTTCCCGCACTCGCAGACGGAGGAACACGTCGTCGCGGCGACGATGGCTAGCGACGACCGCGCGTCGCCGCGGACGCCGGGGAGCGATTGCTGGTGCGCGCGCGACCTCTTCTCTCTCGTGAGCCGGCGACGCCAAGCGGCAGGCGGCAAGGTAAGAGGTGTGGCGACGTCCGAGTAGAGTGTGTTGACGCACGTGTGACAGCACCATGCATGCATGCCTCGTGTGTGCGTCACTCTTCCTGCATGCTGCACTAGGGTTGTGTATTATAGCAATGGTGGCAGTTGGGTTTTAGATTGATGTTAACATTTCTGGTGTGTGTATGTGTGTGTGTGCGTGTGTGTGTGTGTGTGTGTGGTGCTGTGTGTGTGTGTGTGTGTGTGTGATGTGTGTGTTAGAATTGTGCCTGCGCACGCGGCGTTGTGTGCATGCGTAGTGCGTGCGTGCGTGTGCTGGTGTGTGACGAGAGAGAGAGAGAGAGAGAGAGTGTGTGTGTGTGTGTGATAGTATTTCAGTAGACTTTGTGTTAGACAGTGCTAACAAATGTCGGATTAGAAAAATTGCGTCTTGTACAAATTGTTCTGTTACTGTGTAGTACTTGTAGCTGCTTGTGGTGAATTGCTATTCTTTTTATACGTTAATTAGCATACTTTTTGAAATGCCTTTAATGTTTTTTATTCTACTCTAGTGTGTTCAGTATGTATAGCTAGTCCAAGTAGTCGGTTTGATCTTGTTCTGTAGGTTTTGTAGTGTGATAGAATATTTATCTGGTTGAAATGTATAGTTTCTGTTTTTAATTACCACTAGTGTTGTTAAATATAAAATCTAACAGAAGGCAAGACTTCTTGTTTTGTTTTATTTTGGCGATTTACTTCTTTGCTTTGTCTAGATTCTAGATTTCCTCATTTCATTGGGTGTCTGCATGTGTTATTGTAGATATCTGTAAGCGTAGGACCATAGCAGTTATGTCGTACTAAAATAGCTAACGATATAGATTATATTTCTTTGAGTTTATTGCATTAGTTATTTAAAGACATTTTCATAAAATCTAACAGAAAGCAAGACTTCTTGTTTTGTTTTATTTTGGTGATTTACTTCTTTGCTTTGTCTAGATTCTAGATTTCCTCATTTCATTGGGTGTCTGTGTGTTATTGTAGATATCTGTAAGCGTAGGACCATAGCAGTTATGTCGTACTAAAATAGCTAACGATATAGATTATATTGCTTTGAGTTTATTGCATTAGGTATTTAAAGACATTTTGTTAAGTAATAGCTTAGTACATATAAATGTTGAAAATCATGAAATAATATTGATTTTCAATTATTTTCAATCTCATGATGTTCCCGGGATAGAGGGTAGGAAAACAGTCCATGTTCGCTTTCGTAAACAATGAATTCTTCGTTCATTTTATCAGGAGTACATGAATAGAGATTCCCCATTCACGTAGTACTAATTTTATCAACGAAGCACCTGTCTTCAACGTACTGTTATAGAAGTTAAACGCACGGATACGACTGACGGACGTGCGGGTATATAATATTATGTTGAACGTACGGATAACAATTAATGTTGAAGGTGCTAGTACAATGTTGAAGGTACTCGTGCAGAGTACTCGTGTAGGTACTCGAGGTAGGTCGAGCGTACTCGTGCAGGTAGAAATGCTGAACGTACGTGTGGAAATGTTGAAGATACTGGTAAAAACGTTAGTACAAGTGTTGAATGTACGGGTATTGATGTTGAACGTACTGGTGCACGTGTTGAATGTGCGGGTACACATTTTGAATGAGTGGGTACGAATGTTGAACCTACGCGGTAGAAATGTTAAGCGCACGGGTATAAAACTGTCCGTTTAAATATTATCGTATCAACTTTGCATTTTTTTATACCGCCGGGTTTGGCGATCGCTCCTCGGCATTCTGATCTCTTCGCCCCAGCGATGGCTGTGCGGAAAGCGAACCACAGCAGCTAAACATGTTTTAACAACAGATATATAGATCTCGACCTTTCTCGCGTGTCATCCAACCGACTGTCTAAACGAAAGCAATCTGGGCCACACGTCGCAGTCTCCGTGTCTGTGTTTGTCTACGCGCTGAGAGGGGATGGAGACAGCGAGAGAGAGAGAGAGAGAGAGAGAGAGAGAGAGAGAGAGA